GAATGGAGAGTGTAATTGTGATATTGACCAACTTCTATAATGAAACGTTGGTACCAAACTGCATGGCGTGATTTTACACAAATCCTCCTTAGCCTTAGGCTATCAAGTTTTCCATAATACAATCAAACACTCTGTTACCGCAGAGGGTAACGAAAAATTCACTGTCTCAAAGCGACAAAGAACTCTCGCTCTTTGATCCGTCTCTGATTTTAGAAATTATCATTATTTTTCATCAAAAATCACAATCGCTTTTTGTCAATTTCCAAAAAAGGTGGAGACAAAATATTCACCGCTTGCTTGAGTTTACCAACTTATTGTTTTTAAGTCCTTCAAACTTGGCAGTGTTTTTAAGTATACTTCGACTTTGAAAAAAACGCTTCGCCTCACTTCGCCTGTCTCCATAACAACTGCTTAGGTAAGCAAGATTAAACACATGGAAAGTCTTTGCAAAATCCCTATATGATCAGATTGCTGAGTGTCCTCATAGTTTTACAGTTCGTCCTCAATTCTATAGTATTTGCCTTAAATCATATTAACAGAGGTGCTCACCCGACCCAGTTACTGAAGGCTTAGAATCTTGCTAAAAGTTTAGTATTATTCCTAGATCTAAGGCACTAAACCTTGCTGGACATTTCTCCAGTTTCTACCTTTTCAGGGTCGTGTCTGTCACCACTGAGATGTTTGACTGAACTTTCGGAGCGTAATGTATCTAATAATAGTGATGGAAAAATCAATGTAATTATATACATAAGTAATTCTTCATCTTCATGTCTTCCCGGGAAAAAAAATTTCCTGCTTTGTAATTTATGTTAATTTACCGCACAATCACATAGCTTTCTCTCTCTGTCCATTTCACTGAACAAAGATTTTAGGTGATTTTTGATACAAAGCTATACATCAACAAACAAGCTTTGCGTACGAAAATCGAATAAATCTATTTTAAAGGTTTGGTATTTTAAGCTTGTTTTCCTTTAGGCCGTATTTATCGTGGACACGCGTCAATAGGGAGTTTAGATTCACGAAGCGTCAAGCTCGACGACGCGTTTGCAAAACAAAAGAACATCACAAGCGATACAATGCTCAATTACTATGCGTAACTTGTGGTCCCAGATCTGCCATTCTCACCACCGGCCTTCAAATGAGGCAACTTCACGACAATTTTCTAAGCATATGGATGTAACTAACGGTAAGGTAGCTTCGCAATTTCATAATAACTTTTAAGATAATGTTGCTTATCTATCGAAGATTTCCAAAGGGGGGGGGAGTAAATTTAAATTAAAATTTGCACTATTTTGTATTAACTTTTCATCAAAGAAGTTGGTCAATATCACAATGACACCCTCAAATCCTAGCACGTTCGCCACGCCCCTGTTTTCATGACCTTGTGAGAATAAGGAAGTCAGCTTACGTCGATGAAGTAATAACAAACTTTAGAGCTACTCTTTAAATGAAAATGTAATGGAGCAAAACAAACAATATTATATTGCCTCTAGTCTTGAAAATAATCTTTAATGAAAGTGTCCTTCAAAACTTAAAATCTTTCATGCGCCCAGGTAGGTCACGGAAGGTTTGGAATCTTATTAAAAGTACTCTTCCTCGAAAATTAATAATCCTCGATCGATTTACTTTTGTTACCATTGAGATGTCTAACCGCTGATTACCTCTTCTGTTAGATATTACTGTATGGCGTTATTTTACACAAATCTTCCTTAGCTAGGCTATCATGTTTTCCATAATACATTCAAGGATAACAAAAGATTCACTGTCTCAAAGCGACAGAATACTTAGACTACTCTCGCTCTTTGGTACATCTCTGATTTTAGAAATTGCCATCATTTTTCATCACAAGTCGCAATTGCTTTTTGTTTATTTCCAAAACAAGGTGGAGACAAAATATTCACCGCTTGCTTGAGTTTACCAACTTTTTTTAGGTCCTTCAAACTTGGCAGTCTTTTTAAGTATACTTCATCTTTGGAAAAAACACTTCGCTTCACTTTGACTGTCTCCATAACAACTGCTTAATTGAAAGATTAATTACATGGAAAGTCTTTGGAAAATCCTTATACGATCAGATTGCTGAGTGTCTTCGTAGTCTTCAGTTCGTCCTCAATTCTATAGTATTTGCCTTAAATCTTATTAACAGAGTTGCTCACCCGACCCAGTTACCGAATTTGACTTAGAATCTTGCTAAAAGTTTAGTATTACTCCTTGATCTAAGGCTCTAAACCTTGCTGGACATTTCTCCAGTTTCTACCTTTTCATGGTCGTCTCTGTCACCACTGAACTTTCGGAGCGTAATGTATCTAATAATGTTGATGGAAAATTGAATGTGAACATCTTCATGTCTTGCACATATTGCGCATCAATTGCACATATTATGGCCCACCACCAAACACATATATTACTCAGTGTAAGTTATATCACATCACTGTCTCTAAAAGGAGAACTGCTCACTCTGATTACTGATTATTACAATTTATGTTAATTAACCTTACAATCAGCTTTCTTTTTCTGTCCATTTCACTGAACAAAAGTTTAGTTTTAGGTGATTTGTGATCAGTACGTAGCTATATATATACAAAAAGGCGTAGAGTATGGGGGGCCTAGAAACTTTCCAGAAGGTAATAATTGTATCAGAGCAATGTTGAATCTTTGAATAGGCATCCTTATGTACACATGAAACGGTATTACTAGTGAATATTACACAATTATTGGATGAGGTTTTTGTGATATGCTGAGTTATCAAGGTCGAGGTAAGCGTTATCAAGGCCAAGCCAAATGCGAGTCTGATAACGCTTACCGAGACCTTGATAACTCTGCATATCACAAAAACCGAATTCAATAATTGTTTTATTATACATTTGAAGAATAGTAAACATAGTATGAACGAATGAAAAGTCTTATTTAATAGCAACATCCAAAAATACATCAATTATTAATACATAAATACATCCAAATGAATAACGCTTGTTAACCACTGCAGGGTCACTTGCAGATAACTCAGTTATCTGGTAACAGATAACTGAATTTTGCGTGATTGGGCGATTTATTAGCCAATCAAAATGCTTTTACTACTATAATGTATCATAAAATAATATATCAAACAACTCGGAAAAGCAACTGCGATATACGGAATTTCGATCCGCAGCCACTACTTTCTGTATGCTTATTTATGCAGGAGGACTTCCGACTTCGGGATGCAGGGGATCGGCTTAAATGAAGTGTATAACTAAGTTAGCCTAGCCATAAGAAATGCATTTAGGTTGTCACTTTTCACACTTTTAATTTATCTTATTAAAGCATGCGGTATGGAACACTTATAACTTGTTTGTAACTTTTTTATCTTTTTTTTATCTTTCTTTTTTAACTTTTACCGACAACAGGTCATAACCAATGGTAAATATTTTCTCCGCCTATCGGAACCGCATATATGCAACCATATATTAAGAGGAAAATTCCTTCTTAATTGTATCTAATGTCAAAAGGTGTTGCTAGCTAGATATCATGTATCTAAAGTTTGAGCCTCCCCCAGAAAAAAACAAAACTCTACACCTATGGCTATACATCAACAAGTAAGCTTTGCCTACAAAAATCGGCCTGGAGACGCACTGTTTACTGCTCACTCGAATAAATCTATTTTTAACGTTTATACCGACTTAATTTCTTTAGCCCTTCAAACTTGACACAATTTTCAAGCACTCTTCAACTTTTCTCAAATACTTTACAACACACCAGCTGTTTCCACACCAACCAACTGTTGATTGTAAAGACGTTCTTCAATAGGTGCACATGATCATTCAATTTCTTGCACTGCATGACTAAACAAAATGATAATCTTTGCACAATTGCACGAAAGATATACACTGAAATATTCGCGGTTATGAGTTAATCTTTATATCAATATGCTATAATCACGTATATCTAATCCAGTAGGAATATAGTATATTCCTACAATATTTAATAATCGAAATTTAAACGATACATATATTAGGTTCATAAATGGCGTTGTGATTCTTGTGCTCTTCCTGCCTTTCATGACTAAAGCTTTCCAGATAAAGTTAAAGAGAAAATGGATATACCGTTACGGATTTCGTTGTTTGGGAAAAGGTGGCAGTTATATGGACTGAATAGAAAGAGAAAATGTTTCGTGCGTGTAACTTGACGACAGTACCGAAAAACTCCCATTTTTTTTCTAGAACAGTTACGGAAACGAATGAAGTAAGAACAAAGATGAGCTTGTTTTCATGACAACCAAGATTATACATTTCCCGCTGAACGTGTCCTTTGTTGGAAAACTACGCGGTCAAAAAAGCTCAAGTTTTTTTCAGTGGTAGCAACAATGTTGTGCTACACCCTGCAAACATCAGCAACTTGTTAAATTAAAGGCTATAAAAAGTCGTTGAAACGTGATAACAACCATTTTCGTGGGATGAAGCAGTAAATACGAATCACATGCAATAGCAAAGTACGAGGTATCTTCAATGCAAAACTAAGTTTTAATAGTCTGTTACAATTACACGCTAATTAACTATCATTGATGTGGTGTCCAATGTCCATTCATTTCAGTGTGTCCAGTCATTTATCCTAAACAAGAAAGAAAATGAAACATGTAACTAACAAGATTCAAATATGAAGGAAACTCATATATCCCCCCAGAGTACAAATCCCCTCCTACTCACTACTGCATGCTAATAAGGGAATGATCATTTACAATGATGTAATTACTAGTCACCATAGCTTAATGAACTGATCATTTCTGTGTCTTTGGGTTTTTTGTATTGAACAGGGTGTCCCAAAAAGTCCCCCTCCCCAGTTAAATTAGACCATTGGTTGTTGTGAATGATTACAGCTTCTAAAACGAACTGCTATACAAAGAATCAAAGCGCAAAAAATATACATTCTATTTTCATCTGGCAGACATAGTCCGGTATTATTTAAACTAATGATCACTGCTAACGAGACTAGAGGTTAAACTCTTTACTTACAATCACGTGCCATATTTATCCAGCATATGGTCTACGGCCGTGATGACCACCATGACCACCATGACCACCATGACCACCATGACCACCATAACGGTAGCCATATCTTCCCTTGTAGTATTTGCGGCCGTGATATCTGTGCGGGTAATATCTGTGGCCATAATATCTGCGGCCATAATATCTTCTGCGTTTATAGCCGTATCCATGGTAGGCAGCATCTGCTTGAGCTTCGTCACTGAAAAAATGACATTAGCAGATAAGTAGAAACACCACCAATCCGCAGTTTAATATCTGATTAGGAAATGCAACATAGTTTTCTTTAAACGCCAAGTATATATATACAGTATATCATTCAATAAGACTTAATTCTCTAGGAGTGAAAATGTTTCGATCGTGTGTAAAAAGAGATTTATAAAACATACTTTTCGTCGTCTTCTTCGTCTTCTTCTAGGGCATTTTCATCATTCTCTACAAGGATTATAAAATTTGCTTTATCTGCTTACTATCAAGTATATAGCAAACATCGTTGGACATTTTAATTTCTAATATTCATCGCTCAGACTAATCTGTGGACTAGTGTGATAGCTAGCGTTGCCTAAGCAAGTTTGGAAACTTTCTCGAGTTTTCCTGGTGGATGGTTTTCGTCAGATATTCGTTTCATAGAACAAAATATTTGGATGTAAAACATTACTTCCAACAAAGTGCCGAAAGAAACGCATTTGGAAATCTTTTCTAAATGAGTATATATATGTCAAACTAAGCATAGTTAACAATGATACTATCAATGAACATATAGGTATCCTGGAGCCGTAATTGATGAAAAACTTTGAGGTAACAACTAACATTTCACTATGCTTATATTATCTTCTTTAGTAGTTATTTTCTATCTTTAAAGTATACCTTCTTTGTTTTCCAAAGGTTCATCATCTTCGACTGGTATTGAATAAACCACTGCACACAGCAGACCAAGTGCAAGTAACAAATACAATGTCTTCATCTCGGCACTTTCTTCTTCTTAAGATTTCTCGTTGTCTTCTGTCGGTTCTCACTTCTGAACTTGGGTTATCCAGCCACGGTTTTGGATACTTTTATACCCGTTGTTTAAGATAATTTATACAGTGACTTAGCAATATTCTAGCATATATATTAGTATTAAAATGTTACACTTATCAAATGAATGTCTTTGTAATTTTCTTTTTAAATATCAAGAACTATTATTTTCTTTGAATATAATTGAAATCCAGTCAATATCACGCAAGCACGTTATATCACAATTTCCGATTTGGACGTTTTAAATTAAACTCCAAAATTGTACATCTTTTGATTTTTTCCAATTATAGAAGCGAGTGCTTGAACAGTTTACCGTTTTTCCTGGAAGGTGAAGTAATTTTACACTAGAAAATTCCTTATTCGTCATTTTTTTAATTCTATATGTGTTAACAGTATGAGTTTTTGGAGTAGTTTTACACAGAAATATTCCGTATCCTAATTTGTATCATTATTTTGGCTATATATAGAAATGTGTGTTTCTAATCGTGTGAGTTTTCTGGAAGGTGATGTGAAAGTGAAAGAATATAGGAAATTGTCTCCATATCAACTGTTCAATTGTAAAGACGTTTTTTATGCAGTATAATAATTAATTCTCCATCGATGACGAAACTGCAGCAGTAGCCTTGTGCGAAAAATTATAGAAATTCAACTGAACTATCCAATATTCAGTTATGAGTTATTCTAAAGTAGTAAACTCAGTAGAAGTATGTAGCTCAAAATAAAATGCAAATTTGCCAGAATTTAATAAATGCATGGGTGAAGACATAATAGCTAATTTTTAAACGATTAGTTTGTTAATAAAGTTTGTAGCCTCACAGCCCCAGTCTAACTGAGTGCATGTTTGCCTCCAAATCATATTTATAGCAGAATTAGTTTGAAATATAAGAATGATAATGATTCAGTATATCGGAAATATTGTATTACACTACTACATAATTTAAAGACAGAATTCTATTTTCATCTTGTACAGTGCACTGCAGTCAATATTCTACTGAAACTATAGGCACTAAAATCCCTTATATCCAAACCTATAGTGGGAGGGCATTTGTTATACGTTATATTAGTAATGCTGGTAAATCCCTGATAACATTCATTCAGTCGAAATCATGCAGGCATGTTCAAGCCCATGCATATATACGTAGGATTTTGCGAAGTAAAAAATTCTAGGTAAAAAGATACGACACATACTTATATCAGTTATATATTCGTTCCAATTAACAATTACACAATGATTGAGTCGACTTTTCGCTCATAGACAACGAAGGCGAGTTGTCTAATTGTTTTAGTATACACCCTGTACCTAGGATATATTAATTTCGAGAAAATAATCGATACACCGCAATTACACCGAAAAATAATTTAATTAATTTAATTTTATACGGTCGCCCGAGCGAATTTTTCCCAAACGTTCACCATCACGAATAGACAATGCTTGAGTAGCCAATCAGAATGTAGGATTTGTAATAGACAATAGTCGGCTGTATACTAATAAGTATTAGTATACACCCGCCATTGTCTATTACAAATCCTACATTCTGATTGGCTACTTTTATAGAATTTTTCTATTTTTCAACGAATAAGTCGTATATAGCACTTCGTTAACCACTTCTGCAGAGGAACTAAATTTGTGAAGATAAAACGAAAAAAGTGAATATATACTCGTATGTGACGCAGTGCTTTCTTTCACTCTTCCCTCGTAGTGCTGCTGAACGTATGTACGTTGTAAAGAATCAAAGCTATTCATGATTTGAGGATGATGGTTAAGCAGCTGTACAGTGTAGAGAAGCCTTTTGAGCCGGGCCTAATAGAGAATTTGAAGGTTCAGGGAAAACATGCAACAATTTTTGAATTCCTATTGCAAATCACTAGCAAATGGCATGGTGTTTAGGATAAGTAATATTATATACTTTAATAAATTTAGCATGACGTCACTTAACAGTTTATTCCAGCAGGGGCGGATCTAGGATTTTTTTTACGTTAGTCAAAATTTTCGCAGGTCAATACTCAAGTCAATTCTACGTTTACAGAGTAAGAAGAATTTTCGCTCCCCCCCCCTAGATTGATGAAATTAGTTATATTTCACAGTTTACTAGCTGATTCGATATAAATCACACCTTTATTGTATTGAGCTTGGTCAAAGCAAAATTGCTTTATAAGTTTATAGCAGAAACACGCGGGCCACATAACAAGCATTAATATATAATACTATTAAACATGTCTGGATATTATTTCTACGGTGCAGACATATAAACATACAGACATAACATGATTTTACAAATATTCATATTCAAAATTCAAAATCTATCACACTTTTAAATAATACAGATAATTATAACACACCAGCTCGCTCAGCTAATATGAATAAACAATACAACAAATGAGAATATGAACTGCTCCAAATTCTAAATATTAATATAATTTTATGACATTTGACCGGCGGCGGGCGAATGCAAATAAATGCTATAAAGGCAGCTTCAAAGTCCAAGTGAAATATACAGCTTATGTTATCGTTCCGTTTATAGTTTATATTAACTTATAGTATTATCGGAGAATAGTTTAAATAAACATGAACAGAGAGTGAATATTAAATTTACCTTCGCGTAGAACACTCGACATTACACTTCTCGATTCGTTACGCAAACGAGTATATTATGAAAACAAACCTCCATAGCAAAATTACTCGACAACATGTTATCAGCAATGGTTATCAGTGCCACAAATAGCGTCCGTTGCAAAGAACTGTATTCGACTGCAAAAGCTTTCTCTGCATGAAGTCATCCGGAAAGCTCAAAACGAAAGCTCACAGGCTCTGGCTCACAGGCACACCTCCAGAACGAGCAGACCAAACCCCCAAAACGAGCAGACCAAACCCCCAAAACGAGCAGACCAACCCCCAAAACGAGCAGAATTTTTGTCTCCATGGAAACTACCGAATGGGCCAATCAGATTGATGAGAAACGCCCCTAACCAACCTCCAAAACGAGCAGACCAAACCTCCAGAACGAGCAGAATTTTTGTCTCCATAGAAACGAATGAAAATATTGCGCAAGTCTGCATTCAGGAGCGAGGAAATCGAACGAGATCAGTGTTTATTTAATTTATCAAGCGCAAAAATTATTATGCGACTGTACAAATTTACAACAGGACTGCGATCTGAAAAATATAATCTCACTGCATTTAATTAGTGCGAAATTTTTACGTTAGTCGCGTGATCGGTGTGACTACCCCTAGATCCGCCCCTGTATTCCAGCGCCAAGTGTAATTTAAAACCTATCACAACAAGTAGCGCACTTAGTAATTGAGTAGCGAAACACTGTTTGAGTCGTAGTAGAGATACACAGAGAAAAAAACGTTTTAGACAGTTCGACCGGAGGAGATCCACCCCTCAGAATCCTATATTTATAAAATTAAAAGAATCTCCTTTGTGTCGCAGTCTCTTCCGCGCATGCGTCTGAACCATATGACACTGAAAAAATATTTGTTTTGTAAAGACTGACTTAAACGTGTTATATGGCAAGCATCAAATCATGTAGAAGGCGAAAAAATATATCAGATAACGATAATACACTATCTCGGCGCAAAGATGAGAAGATCACACGACGTTTTCTTAACCTAAATGTGCTCTTCATCTCAGATGAATATTAGCTGCATGTGTTTAGATTACGAGCTTAAACCAGGGGTTCGTGGGACACCCCCATATTTATGTCTAACTTTTACCTATTGTTTATTCAATTAAACAAAAGTAAAACACGAACACAAGTATTTTCAATGATGCATAAATTTTAATGATTCTACGGTTACACGTTGGAAATCATGGCTACTAATTTAATGTAGTGTTGTATCTAAACTATAATGTAGTTCACCGTTAGTGCGTCCAGTCTCTTCCTATAAAGGAAAATAAAAATTCCAACATGTTAACCTGTCCAATCGTTCCGGCTGGAATTCGAGGCTCACGAATCCTTCATAATAATAATAACCTGACATTTCTGCATGAGTCTCTCGGACGCCAATTTTTTTGAACAAAGTAAATCAGTATATGTATAATGCAGTATTGCATTGAAGTGGTAGCCTACGCATAATGCATTGAAGTAACATCAACTAATAACAGATTGTATTTTTGTGGCCCGGAGTGATGTTTATCTGTGCGCTCCTGAGAATCGTGTATTTCATAGATTTCATTCTGACAGACAGTGCATGGTATAATTTAAACCAAGGATCACTCACGAATGAGCCATGATGGGAATTATCTGTTCTTAAAAAAGTGTAAACCAGGTTTTAGTACACACATATTTCTTACAATGAATTGGTTTTTTAATCCTTTATCCACCTCCGTAACGAATAACATTTCGGTGACCATATTTGCGTCCTCCATATTTGCGTCCTCCATATTTGCGTCCTCCATATGCCCAGTATCTGCGTCCGTAACGTTTGCCCCAGTAATGTCCGTAATATTTGCGGCCATAATATTTGCGGCCACGACCGTATCTGTATTTGTGTCTGTACCCGAACCCGGGGTAATTTTGAGGTCCAGGATCTTCTTGAGCTTCGTCGCTGAAAAACCATTTACCAAGTCGATAAAACACCACTAAGTAAACCGTATTTTTTATAACTAGGCGACGAAGCCTGCAGTTGTTGTTGTAAAATAATATACACACGATTTATGATATGATATAATTTATACTGGTCAAATTCATTTACTGAACTGACCACAAACTATTCCTAATATAATTAAAAAGGAATTCAAAGGAAAAATATAAAATGATATTTATTCCGTATACTGGTTGTCATACTGAAAAACTTAAAAAAGAGGACATGCAGGAATAATTAGGTCGTTGCTGGAATGCTACAACGATTCTTCAGCATCAACATGATTGCCTAATTATTTACTTATTTATCAAAACATCGCTGATTCTGTTCGCGAATATAATTTTAGTCCAAGGGAATAAA